GGTTGTCGAGTTATCTCTGGGTTTTGTCTGCCTGACTCGACCAGGCTTTGCACAGAGGACGCATGAATCCACTCAGCTCAACTCAGTCCTTTCTTTTATTGACTTTTGTCGCACTTTGTTGAAAGGTAAGCAGGTTGAAATCCTCAGAAAGAAAACAAATAGAAATTAGTCCCACAATGAACCATGCAAACATGTTAAATTATCTATGTTGAACTTAGTCTTGGAAAAATAAATACTTTACTAAACATATGTGGGGAAATGAAGTGAAATACTTACCAGTAGCGTCTCTGTGTTTCACTGACTCAACTGACAGTCAGACAAAAGAGCCGCTCAGGTGCTCACCCAGTATTAATCACCTCAGAGCTTCTTGCTCTATCCCCTTTCTCCAAACAAGTGAACGCTTGGGCTCTCTACTGCCCTCTGCCCCACTTCATGCACCAAATAACCATCACCACAGAGTGAAAAATATAAAGAATGAGAAGTAAAAAGCACTTAACCCAACAGGGGTGGTAATAGGAGCATCCACCACAGTGACACAAAAAAGTTCCTAATGACCTAAAGAGCAGGTTTGTCCTACATTGACAACAAAGTTCTTTATGACCTAAAAAGTTCCAAATTACTTAAAGATTATCTTTGTCCTACTGGGACACAACAAAGTTCCAAATGTACTAAAAAGTTCCAATTTTCCTAAAAAGTTTCAAATGACGTTAAAAGTTTCAAATCACCTAACGAGCAGCTTTGTCCTATTGTGACACAAAAAAAGTTCCAAATGACCAAAAAAGTTCCAAATGTACTAAAAAGTTAAAAATGACCTAAAAAGTTCCTAATGTACTTAAAATGTCAATTTGTCCTAAAAAAGTTCCAAATGACATAAAAATTTCAAAATTATTAATATTTCAAAATGGCCTAAAAAGTTAAAATTGACGAAAAAGTTCCAAATGACCTAAAAAGTTCAAAATGTACTAAAAAGTCCAAAATGAGGTTAACATTTCCAAATGACCTCACGAGCAGTTTTGTCCTACTCTTAAATAACAAAGTTGCAAATAACCTAAAAAGTTTCAAATATACTAAAAAAATCCAATTGTCTTAAAAATCTCCAAATGAATTCAAAAGTTCGAGATGATCTAACTAGCAGCTTTTTCCTAATTTGACACAAAAAAGTTCCAAATGACCTAAAAAGTTCAAAAGTATTAAAATTTCAAAATGGCCTAAAAAGTTCCAAATCACCGAAAAAAGTTCCAAATGTACTAAAAAGGTCCAAAATGATGTTAAAAGTTCCAAATGACCTAACGAGCGATTTTGTCCTACTGACACTACAAAGTTCCAAATGACCTAAAAAGTTCCAAATGACTTCAAAAGTTCCAGATGATCTAACTAGCAGCTTTTTCCTAATTTGACACAAAAAATTTCAAATGACCAAAAATGTTCCCAATGTACTACAAAGTTCCAAATGACCTAAAAAGTTCAAAATGTACTAAAAATGTCAAAATGGCCTAAAAAGTTCCAAATGTACTAAAAAGTCCAAAATGATGTTAAAAGTTCCAAATGACCTAAGAAAAGTTCCAAATTTACTAAAATGTTCCAATTGTCCTAAAAAGTTCCAAATGACGTCAAAGTTCCAAATGACCTCACAAGCAGTTTTGTCCTACTCTGAAACAACAAAGTTGCAAATGACCTAAAAAGTTCAAAATGAGTTCAAAAGTTCCAGATGATCTAACTAGCAGCTTTTTCCTAATTTGACAAAACATTTTTCCAAATGACCTAAAAAGTTCAAAATGTATTAAAATTTCATAATGGCCTAAAAAGTTCA